ACAAGGGTTCAGCAGCTTACTTATGCTGTGCATGGCAAGCATCGCACAAGTGCTTCTCGTGCGACCTACGGTACCCCGGCTTGTTCACTCTGAAACAAGCCTCGCCCCAGCACGACGGGCATCGGAGACCACACGCGGAAATAGTATCTCTGTAGTCCGGCGGGTTCTCCTGAAAAGCGCGACCCCATGCATCGACCTGAGGGTACGGGGCGCCCACCGGAAAAGGCGCGAACTGTGGTGGGCTCCGTGGCCCTGGCGGACCTGCGGCCAGGATCTGGGCGGCGGCCGCGACCTTCGGCGAACTGGTAGTAGCGCTCCCCGTCGTCTCGTCACCCGGAGATGCACCTGTGTCTGCGACCGGAGGCGGACCGCTTGCTCTCCCCGTTGTGGCCTTGCTCTTGGCCGGCGTCTTCGCGACCTGGGGCTCCTTCACGGGTGGTGTAGTAGACGTCGAACTCGAGGGAGCCGTCGCAGTAGTCGGAGTGGCCGCCTTCGGCTGAGGAGGCGGAGCCAAAGGAGGTGCCATCATAAGAGCTATGGCGTCCTCACCCGACGTGGGCGAACGCTGCTCCACGACCTGCTTCGGCTTCGCGACCGGCTGCGGCGACTTCACAGGTGGGTCCTTCGGTGCGACCGTGCTGGGCGCCTCGGTGTCCTTGGGCTTCGCCGCCGGGGTTACGACCTGTGTGGGCCGCCCGTCGTCAGGCACCGTTGGCGGCCTCTTCACCACTTTAGGCACCACTGTACTTGCCGTCGGAGGAGTCGAGGAGCTTGGGCCGGATCGTTGCGAACAGGGTGTCCCGCGACCTTTTCCCTTCTGGTCCTGGGCTTGATCGGGACCGTCGTCTTAGGCTGCGAACCAGCGGCCTCGGAGGAGGCGGGTCGCGACCACGACTCTGCCCTTGCCCCCCCTGCTGCAGCGGGCGGGCCGGCGGCGACCGGCTCGTCGACCTCGTCGGACTGCATGTAGGCCGCATGTGCGCACGCCCGGATCTTCACCAAGTCGGCGTCCTGGAGGCGGGGCATCACCTTCATCAGGTCTTCCTCGGACGCCTCCGCGACCTCGACCATTGCCGACCAGAGGTGGTTGATCCTGGCTTCCGTTGTCCACATGGCTGCGCGGGTGACCAAAAACGAAAAGCTCTAACACACCTCGAACCGGAGCTTCGGCTGCACTCGAACGTTAGACAGCAAAGGCGACCAGGAGTACTACGCAGTGCTTGTCACTCTTTGCACACGTGCAAAACCCGACAATTACTTGGCAAACTTCAAAGACGAAACAAAAAGGTCAAGAAAGAACTTTCAGGCCTGGAACTTTTTAAGGAAACGCCCGGTGGCAAATCCAAACCTAAAGATCGTGGGTGGCAAACCCACACAAACCCTTGAATATGAAGGCATTACTTGGCAAACCCGAAACTTTTGAACACAGATGTTGCTTCGGCAAACCCCAACAAAACTCAAGCAAGCTCTTCTTTACGTAAAGTCTCGATTTTGCCAACTACATCATGCATGTGCGTATTTGCCTGGTGGATGGCGTGCCTCACATGTGCAGGATCTCCAGGATTCTCAAGTTTTTTGGGCAAATGCGGGCTGTCTGCCCCCGCCCCCGCCCCCCGCCCGCGCTGCTCCTGCCCCCACTCTCCTTCCGCCCTTCCGCTGCCCCCCTGCGTCCCTTGCCCACACTTCTGCATTTGCGCTGCTATTTCACGTTCCAGATGAGTTCTGTCACAGCGCCGGTCTCCGGCAAGCCGAGGCGGGCGGCGCAGCGTTAAAATTACTTGGGAATCCTGACACATCAAAAAGGACAGGTTGCTTGGCAAGCACCACGCTGGTAAACCCCAAACCCGAAAAGATGCAGGCTCGCAAACCTGAAACCTGAAAACCACGCCTTGCTTGGCAAGTCCCATATAAACCCTAAAAACCATCGGTGGCAAGCCCCAAACCCTAAAAAATGCATTACTTGTCAAATCTGGAATCGAAACAAACCTCTGGTGGAAAACCTCCAGAACCCTATTAAAGAACATGCAAATATTTGACGGGAGATGCTGGATGACGAAAACATCGAAACCGTAAAGAGCGTATGCGGCAATACGGCAATACCCAAACCCCACAAAAGACAAACTACAAACGTTCAACACTGTTGCGTGACACATCCCAAACCCCAACAATCCTGGGTGGCAAACCCCAAACAAACCCTAACATATGAAGGCATACATTTGCAAGCCTGAAAAACAGGTATGTCTTGCCAAACCTGAAACCTTAAGCAAATATGTGGTCGCCGAAAACTAACCTAAGAAACGGATGTATTGTTTTCCGGACATGAAACCTACGATATGCTGGTTGATAGACCTTAAACATTCAGCATCGCCGGTGGTCAAACCGCAAAGCCAAGAACAGGACGACATACTTGGCAAACCTGAGACCTTGAACGCAGATGTTGCTCGGCGAATCCCAAATGTGCCGGGCAAACTCGAACCCACGACAAAACACTTGCCAAGCCTGGAACCGTTAGTTGAAATTTTTAAGGAAAGGCCGGGTGGCAAATCCCAAACCCAAAAACCGTGGGTGGCAAACCCCAAAGTGTATAACAAAACATATATTTGTTGGCAAACCTGAAACGTCAAAGGGAGGAGGGAAGTTTTGGTTGGCAAGCCCAGACCCGAAAGGTCGTAGGCGGCAAACCCCACGCCCTAAAAGAAGTACATAGCACTTGCTTTGCCATGCCAGGAACATCAACGAGGGATGTTGAGTGGCAATTCCCGAAACGTAAAGATCGTGGCTGCCACAACCCCAAAACCACAACTCCCTTCATCTCTCACCGGACTTGGGCGTCGAAGCACAGCATCCATGAAGGTGGGATCTGTTGGTTTTGGTTAACACATCGCAGTTCTTTCTTTTTGGAGCGTCCGCTTGGAAGCAAAGCCTGGCCCTTGGATGAAATTCGTGCCCTCGCCTCACGTGGGGTGCCAAGTGGCCTCAGAAAGCGTCAGGCGTGCTCAGTGCCGGGACGTGGCATGGCAAGTCAATGACCAGGCCAGGAACCACATCCACCGGCTCTCCGTGGAACGAAACCTCAAGCCGCGAGAAAGTATCCATCATCATTCGGGGGGCGCTCGCTCTTGAATTTTCGCAGCGCGTGGCTACGCAACACTAACTAACCTGTCTCGCCTGGGCTTGCGCGAGACACCCTGCTTGTTGGGCCTAGCTCAAAGAGCGTAACTTGTTTTAGTTCGATTTCAAAGCTCACAGATTCGGTGTCGATTCCGAAACTTCACAAGCTCAGCTTGAGAGTTTTCCTTCCTTCAGTCATGTGCCCAGCATCGCTTTAGCATTTCTGAACTCGATAAAACATGCGATTGGCATCTCGGCAGCCGCGACAACCTTGAGGTCAGGATTGGGAAGGAAATATGCATCGCAACTTTGTGACAGGCGCTACTCATCAGGCCTGACCCACGTCGTTTGGATCATGATATGTGCAGGCCAGAACCCTCGCGTTCCAGTTGATCCGCCACCACTACCACCACCGTACCTCAAGGTGTTTGAGAAGGCGCGCTTGGTCTTCAAAGCCTCACAAGTTTAGCTACAATATCACAAGTTGGTATACAGCCTGACAGATTTGGTGCGCTTTCAGCTCAAATGTTGGGTGGCGCCTTCGAAGCTTCACGAGCTCAGCCTAAGAGTTTTGTTTGCTTCCGTCATTCCTGGCGAAGCCTATCATTGTCTGAACTCGATAAATAATGAGAAGAAAGAGGGACATTGCTGATGTCCGCGACCACTTGCCGGCACCAAAACGGACTGGAGAGGAAGTCACAACTTTGTGGGCTGCACATATGATGCTCCAAACGACGTAGGCCAGACCCTGAGCAGCAGCTGTCATGGAATGCGGGGCTCAAGAAAGAAGATATTACTTGGCAAAGCTGAAGCCTTAAAGGAGATGTTGCTTAAACCCTAAAACTGCGATGCCGCCGCCCTCGGTAACCGTCGGGTTGGTTTGCAAGAAATTGTTTCTGAATGGATAAACGACTTTTGGATTTCCACTCACCAGCAAAATATCTGTAGATTTGCACAGGTTATGCCAATACTTCTACCTAGGGCTATCGGATGTCGCCAGGGACCCAAAGCCTGGGACCCCGCGGCTCTAAAAATTCCTTTTGGCAAGGTTCTGGTCATTGATCGTCTATGTAAGCCTGCACACTGCATACACGGCATCAGAGCGGTGGCTGCAGGTGCCTTGGAAAACCGTTTTTCGTTTGATCTGGTGCCGAAAATACGATTTTCCAAGTGATCTGCGGCCTGGAAAAATGAGTTTTGAAGTGAATGGGAGGGAGCCTGGAAAAGTGATCCCACAGTAGTCTGCCGCTGCAAAGTGAATTCAAAGTGACCTGGCGCCGGAAAAGCACTTCGTTTCACCAGTGTGCAAGACCACACCTGAATCACTCTTACAGTCGCGTTCTCGACCCGTGTCCGATCACTGTGTTTTCATTTGCTGCTGGGCTGGCGATCGATCACTTTTTCTGTGCTCCAGATTACCTTTTCACTTCTCCGCACAACTGGCACAACTGAAACAGGTTCTGAAACAAGTATTATGTCATGATCAATTGTCCTGCACATGCCCGATCGAATCACGTTTTATGCTCACGTTGCAATCACGTCTACATCGACAATCATTCAACTAAATCCAAAGGGTTGCCCGCCAGCGGGCGTTCCAACCTCAAATAAAGATCTTGAAAGGCTAACCGCCAACCCTAAAACACCGCGGGGTTTGTCGAATAAGTTTCCGGAATCGGTGTGCCTGGTTTTGCGAGCTTTTGCCGGACTCGGCCACACGCACGGTGTCTGACATGCACAGCGTCTTGTCGGCTGTACAAACTTGGCGGGCTTCCCCTCCCAATTGCATGAAGCTGAGCAGACTTTGCCACACTTCGCTCCGTGACCCTCTGCCTTGCTGGTCCTTGGCAACCCTGGGCCAAAGGTTGCAGACTTGACTGAACCCGCTGGTCCTCGCCATCTGCCACGTCTTTCCTGAAACAGACCGTCGACATGTCAGATACAATCATGCCATGGCATCTGCAACTGAGTTCGCACCAAAGTATGGACCATCTTGCCGCGGCTGAGGGATCAAAATCTCAAACAGGGATCAAAAAACACAAACCTGGTATCACAAAGAAATGAAAATGGTGTAGTCAATTTCCTGATGCTGTACGAAGACAACCAAATTTCGGATGAAAAAACCCAAACCCAGATCGAAGCAGAGATCAAAACAACAGTAAGCAGGAGCAAAAGTAGAAATACTAGCAATGGAAATAACAATAGTGGTAGTCATAGTAGTGAAAGTAGTGATTGTAGTAACTGACAAAGCAGCCATGGAAAAAACCGTGGTAATAATCGTCATGGTAATAATCGTAGTGATAGTAGAACCATAGCAATTGTAATAACAGTAGCAATCGTAGCAATTGCAATAACAGTGGAGGGAGTAGTAGCAACAGCAGTAAGGATGGCAGTAGCAGTAGTAGTAGTAGTAGTAGTAGTACTACTACTACTACTACTACTACTACTACTGCTACTGCTACTGCTACTACTACTACTACTACTACTACTACTACTACTACTACTACTACTACTACACCTCTCAATGCAGCCCTGCCTCTGTAGCGGACACCCAGATCTCACTGGCAGCGGGCCATCCGCTCTCCCAGCAGTAACGGCCTCAAGAATTCCAAAGCCTTTAGGCATCTCCGATCGTCCCTGCTTGATCGGATCAGGTCAGCTCGACGTGAAGCACGACGTCTTGCGGGACACCGCCGTGCCAGGGCCACCTCTCTTCGGTTTGATTCGTCCGTCTCCATCCCAGTGTGCTGTGACCATTGGGTGGAGGGCTGGCCCCACAGCTTCCGTGCTCAACCTGAAGAGGCCTGCGCCATCTGTCAAGGTCGCCCCCGTCAGGAGTTCCACTCTGCAGCAACCCCACCAGCCTTCCACATCTGTGAAGGCTACAGGCTGGTATCGAACACTGCCCCGACATTCGCAAACTGGCCCCAGATCTCCTTATGCCACAGCGCGTGGAGAGCTCAATTGCGTGATGCCCTGCCCGATGGCAGACCAATGGCGGGGGACCCGGCAGAGTTTGTACCGTCACCGGCCTGCAACCTGTGCAGGCTGCACTATCACCAGTTTGCACCGGATCGTACCGACGAGACGGTCCACCTTCTCCCGGAGACTGACCAGGCATCCCTTCCAGGTCCTTCGAAACCCCAGGCACCCCCGCGACTGGAACTGGACCTACACAGCCTGGATTAACCTTTACACGATGGCCCTCATTATCAGACCCTTACTACGACCAGCACGGCATGAACGGACCTGCGAAAAGACACTGATGCAATTGCCTCTCGTCAGCCATTGTGTCCTGCAGCTCCGCCTGCTTCTCAAGATGTTGACCCCTGGGCTCAAGCAGCCCCCCACTACCCTCAGAGCTGCTCTACCCCCAGCAGCGCAGACGACACGAAGCACACACACACACACTCTCAGCTCCCAATAAGTTGAGCCGCCCCGGTCCCAAATCCGGGGACCGAACTCAGATGCGAACAAAAAGACGAACCCCAGCCTACCTCAAGGCCATCATCCTAGGATCTCAGCTTCTGAGTTCGGCAGGTGCGAGGGTTGGGGAGACAGTCGCGAACTCCCCTGAAGTCGCTACCACTGCACTTCGAAGGCCGCATAGTGCGGCAAAGCCTCGCGCGCCACCTACCTCAGGCGACGCAGCATCGCCACTTGCAGCACCATCCTCTACGGTCAAGAAACGCTCCTATGCGAGGTTCCTGAAGCGCCTAGCCACCACAGGCACCGCCAGATACAAAGGCCAGGTCTACCACTCAGACACTGTCAGACCGCCTGACTCTCACGCTCAAGCCCAGACTCCTATACAGCCAGAGGCTGCTACCTCCCAGAAAAGGTACCGCGCCATCTCTTGGAACGCTGGCGGCCTTAGCACCGCCAAACTCGACGAAGTATATGTTTGGCTGCACATGGAAGCCCTCCAAGGCCGACCGATCCACATCCTGTCCATCCAGGAGACCCACTGGACCTTCACCAGTGAATGGCAGGCCCAAGGCTACTGGCACTTGCACAGCTCCCTGGACACAAAAACTCGCAGTGCAGGAATCCTTCACATGGTACACCAGGACCTGGCCAACACTCACCAGGTGCGCACTGACCATGTTATCCCTGGCAGACTGCTGTACACTAAATTAGCCACCGAGCCACCCATCTCTATCATCAGCCTCTACCAGCACTGCTGGTCCACCAACTCCACCGCTACCCCCACCCAGGAAAAGCTGCTCGAGTGCCGCGAAAAAGTCTGGAGCAAACTGTCCAATCTCATTGGACGGATTGCCCAACGCCACCAGCTACTAGTGCTCGGAGACTTTAACACACAGTGTGTCCCACCACCGGATGCACCCCGACTGGCACGCACGGCAGACCTGCTAGATAAAACGGTCCCACCACAGAAGGACTACGGAAGACTTCAAAGCCTCCTCAGGGATAATCAGCTCCTAGCTGTCACCACCTTCGGCCGACAAGCCAATGCTGCCACCTACGTTGCCGGAACAGGGCCCACTGCAACCCGGACCCGCATTGACTTCATCTTGTGCAGGGAAGCTCAATCAGACCGAAGCACGCGCCGGGCTGGCGCCCTGAGGACTGAGGAGCGCTCCGTTCGTTCCACCACAAGGCAACCGCCACCGCCCCCTAGAAACCACTATGCCTTGGCCAAGTCACCGCCTACTCCCCACAGACAGGCCTTCTCCATGCAAACGTTGGACTGCTGCATCCACACAGGCTGCTTTAGCTGCGGACCCCTCACTTGGCCCGAAACTTGCACACTCCGTAGCCGTCCAGCTGCAGCTTCGGCCCACACCCCCCGGGGTAGACCCCTGCAGACACATCAATCTCCTCCTCCAAAAGACTTGGGACAGTCTCACAGCCTCGGCAGGCCTCCACAGGCCTACTCCAACTAAGCCGGGCACCGACGCACCAGACACCGCCATCACTGTTAGAGAGCTCTGGCGCCTAAAGCGACTCAAACAAGCGCAGCCTACGACAACTTTTGCGCAAAAAGCCCAAGCCCTTCACCTCACGCAGCAAATTCGCACGACACAAAACATTCTCCACAAACGAGGTCGTCTTCGCAAACAAGAGCGCCTTGACAACATCCTCAGTGAGGCGGAACGCAGCACTGCTCCGGGAGCCCTCTACAAAGCCACCAGGCTTCTGGCCCCAAAGACCCGACACTCCCGCATCCAACTGCGCGATGCGGATGGAATGCTGATGTCCCCGCAGGAGGAACTTAAGGCCATCCGCCAACACTTCGAGGGCCTCTACCAGACTACCACAAGTCGACCTACACCACCACAACCTGCTGTAGACCTCCACTTTACTGCCGACGAGGTGAGCAGTGCCCTCGCACGCCTCCCAGCCCGGAAAGCCCTTCCACCAGACTACATGCCTGCCCGCGTGTGGCAAGCTGCCTCCACGGCTATTGGGCCGGACCTAGCGGAAGGACTGAAGCATTGTCTCCAGCCGCCGACTTACTGCCTACCAGAGGACTGGCACCGTGTACACGTATGCCTTATTCCAAAGGTGACCATGGCTCGTCTCCCGAAACAGCTGCGCCCCATCTGCCTCCTCCCACCCGGCAGTAAGATCTTAGCAATGATGCTGGCTGACCGTATACGTGACAGAGCCGAAGCATACATCCGCCAAGCGCCACAATTCGCATACGTCAGCAATCGCAGCACCACGGACGCGATCAGCCGCGTGTGCAGCCACTTGCATGAAGCGCGAACCCTGGCTGCCGCCGCTGTTCTGGTCGCCCGAAGGCGAGGGCACAGGCGCAAAGGAAGGCGTGGGCATTGGCATCATCTCCTGGCTTGCTTTTGACTCAAGCGAAGCCGAGGGCGAAGGCGCTGAAGATGGCAGGGGCAAGGACGAGGGCGAGGGCACGCCGCTACCAGCATCAGACACGGCAGCAGTTGAAGCTGCCTGCTTCATCTCAGAAGCAGGACCACGAGCACCGGCAGCCTCACGTTTAGCATCTGAAGAAGCTGGCCGCTTGTTGTGTCGGCCACGCCTGCTGGATCTGCAGCCCATGCAAACATTTTCAGGTGGTCCCAAAAGACACCAGCGCCACTCAGGCGTAACCCCCTGCCAACTCGCCGGGGGTCTCTCGTTAAGTCTGGACGTTGACAAAGCCTTTGATTCGCTGCCAAGAGATCAGCTTGTGACTTCAATGCAGGCAGCAGGCCTGACATCAGAGGAGGTAGCGCTTGCACTCCACATCCACGACCAGGCCAAGCTCACCTTCGAGCTGGCAGGGCACAAAGACGAAGTCGAGCTCTCACAGGGCATACGTCAGGGCTGCGGTCTCTCGCCCCTCTTGTGGTCCATGGCCACCACAAAGCTCTACCTAAGGTTCAAAGAGACCATCACTCACAAGAAGGAGATATTGGGAGAGCCCACCCTCTATGCCGATGACATCTGGTCCTCCTGGACCATACGGACACAGGAACAATTCCGTTCCAGCCTGCGCGCGGCAGGCATACTGATTCAGCTCCTCCACGAAGCAGACCTCCGAGTGTCGCCCACGAAAACTGTCTTCCTGCTCAATCTCCAAGGTACTGCGGCCAGAAGCACTCTTCGCCCCAGACTCACCAAGCTGGAAACAGGCGAGCCCGCAATAAAGCTCCGCGTAGGTCAAACCACTATGCTCATCAAGATAGTAGACGCCCATACCTACCTGGGAGCCAGAGTTGCCTACCAGAACCATGAAGCTCTCAACCTGCAGCACCGACTGCACCTTGGCTGGCAGGCCTACTGGCGACTGGCCAAGGTCCTCCGCTGTCGAGCACTGACCCTAGACAGCAAAATCCGCGTCTGGAAGACATGTGTCTACCCGGTTGTCCTTTACTCCCTGGAGGCCACAGGCATCACCCACCACTCCCGCACCCTCCTCTCTCAGTTCGTCCACGCTCAGCTCCGCCTCATCCAAAAATTACCGGGCCACATCACCAAAGTTACCTCCCACGACCTACTACTCAGAAGCCAGCTCGAACCGCCAGGCGACACCCTTGACCAGCGGATCCAACGACATCTCCAACAAGCCCCGGATTTTCCAACTGCGGCGCAGGAAACCTGGTTCGACCTGCTGCAGGACTACTCGACGACGCCTGCTGTCTCTGCATCCGACCCTTCTGACTCTATGACCCCTTCTCGGGGAGGCTCTACTCGCGCCCACCTCAAGCCAATCAGCAGCGTCCTCAGCTATCGGCCACTCAGCTGCCCAATCTGCGGAGTAGGTTATAGCACACTTCAGGCCGTCCGTCTCCACATGCGGAAGTCCCATCACACTCAAGTACGACAGGCACCTGCCTCCTCGGGCTCGCGCCCAACTCCTGCTCAGGCTCCGGACCCAGATCACTCCTCCTCTACTCCAGCCGTCCTTATGGACCCAGATGCTGCCACGGCCCCGGCCCCGTTACCTGACTTCGCGGCAGATGAACATGCTCTGTTTGTTTGGCAGCATGGTCGAGAAGGTCTTCCACAGTACCGGCACTGTCTCCGACAGTGTGATTCGTGGCATAACTTACGAATACACATCTCCACCAAATCCTGCCGAACTTTGGTCCCAGACGGCTTCAACGCCCTACCCCCAAAACACAATCTCAACCCGACTCCACTGTACCACAGGCCTGAATGCCAGCTTTACCTAGTCGGAAGTTGGGAAAAGCTCGCCTCCTGGCTGAAAAAGGTGCTCCCTCAGGCAGTCCACCACTGCCCGTACTGTCACCAGTGGCTGACCCAAGCGCGTGGCCTTCGAGCTCATATTAAAGCCAAGCACTCCCCAATGACCACTTGCTGTGAAGAGGCAGTCCAGCGCATGCAATCCCACCGCAGGCTTTTGGCCCTTTGGTAGCACCTGTCGCTACTGCAGCCTTTCCCTAACAGGAGCGCCCATCAAGCATGCCACTGAGTGTGCAGTCCTGTTTCTGGTTCATTTGCTACAGGCCACGCATGCGCTACATCATTCGAACCACCTGTCTCAGGTCCGCGATGACTCTCCCCTCGATGTTCAATGCGCACCAAGTGAGCCCGGAAGACCTGGAAGAGGCCACTCAGGAGCTCAAGAGCATCGAAGCGCAAGTCCGGCTGATACCCATGCAGCCCCAGTCCCTGATGGCCCCAACGACACTGATGAGCGAACCCCCACCACAGGGAGGCATGCCGGATTCCTCGAATCCCCCACCGACGGAAGTCTTGGACAGACCTTCCAAATGGCAGAGGGACAACAGCAAAGGAGCCACCCAACCAGGCAAGGGAAAGGGCTCATCAGGCCGTGGAGCCCAGGGCCAACAGAACCCTGCCAACCCACCGCAGGGCGGTCCGCCAAGACGTCAAGGAGGTCGCCCATCCGGATACCACCCCCAACCCCCATGGCAGCGCCAAGGACAGGGATACGGGCCTTCTTCAGGCCCCGACCTCACTCTCATGTGCCACACCATGGCCTGGATCCTCTTCCTCACGACTCAGCCCCCGGGCACTGTCCTCCCCAAGCTGTTCGCCACAGCCCAAGGATGGCACGAGCTGCGGTGGAACGACCCGGAATCCATCACCCATCCGATGCGCATCATTCTGTGGCAGAAATTGATGCTCGAGCTGTCCCAGCGTGCCCAGAAGGTAATCGACCAGGAGGATGCCCGAGAACAGGCGATCCAAATGGAGCTATACAACCCGAACACGGGGTTTGGCTATCGCAAATGGAACAACAAGGAGGGTGTGATGCAGCCCATTCCCGATCGCGAACCGCTCACGGCACAGAAAGTGGTGGAGATTGCAAAGGAGCTAGCGACGCTGAGTGTACAACCGCAACTGCTCAACAGGTTCCATGCCACTCGCCAGCTGGAGGAGAAAATGGAAGGCAGCACGGTGACCTGGCTATTGGAAGTGGGCTGGAGGGGCGAGCATACGGCTCGCTTCTGGGAGTTGCTCCAGCTCCTTTCACACAACTCCTCTCTCCTGATGATCGGCTGCACCCTCCGTCCGGATCGCCTCCAGAGATCAGCCTTGGCCCAGCAGCTGCAGACCCTCCTCCAGTCCATGCACATCCCTATGCCGAGACAGCCGCCGAGACCTCAGCCCTGCTCCCGACATTGCAGCTCCGCAATCCTTCCAACTACTGTTACTCCCATGCCTGCCTTTTCACCTATCTTTGGCTTGTGTCCCAAACCCCCTCCTCCTTTCAGGTACTGGACCGGGAACCGTTGAGGAGCTTCATCGCCCAGGCGCGCAAACAACCGCAAGTGACACTCTGGTCCCTCCTCCCGTGGAGACAGGCAATGCGACGCTGGTCCCACCCAGCCAGGCAACATGATGCCGCGGACTTCCTCCTGCACTTACACCAAGTCCTCAATGCGCCCTGCTTTCAGGGCCTCTGGCAGTCCTTTGACGACAGCCACACGCTTCTAGATGAAGGCGGGGTTTGCCCACTCATACTTTCAAGAATGCAAGATGCCTCTGACTCAATTGCAACCACCGCCCAGTCCTGTATCAACCGCTGGTATTCGCAGAAACGTCGCCACGCCCTGATTGCAGGTACTGAAGCTGTGGCTGTACAGCTAAACCGCTTTCGCAATGAACAGGGCATTGCATCCAAACGTGACCATCGCATAGATGCTGATCCAGAAGTCCTTTTTCCACAATGGACTCCCTCATCCCCTGATGGCATCATATGGAGAACGTATCAGCTTCAGGCGATTGTCCAGCATATTGGACCGACCACGGTCAGTGGGCACTACCGTGCTGCACTCAAACCTCGTTCTGGAGCAGCGAACCTGTGGCATCACACCGATGACAATAGTTCTGCGCAATCGGTCCTACCAGAAGCCTTATCCACTTCCAGCTACATCCTTGTGTACCGAATGAGGAGTGCTGCAACCTCAGCATAGGCCCTGCGGGGCAACCACTTAGTTAGCTTCGAGGCGATCCAAGCGTGATCGCGCGCCACTGTGCGCCAGGTGATCCCTGCTCCAATCAGCGCATTGCGACTTCACCGTCCGCAGCGAGTGTGATGATACTACTACTACTACTACTACTACTACTACTACTACTACTACTACTACTACTACTACTACTACTACTACTACTACTACTAGTGGTAGTAGTTGCTGTTGATGTAGTGTGGTAGCAGTAGTAGTAGTAGTAGTAGTAGTAGTAGTAGTAGTAGTAGTAGTAGTAGTAGTAGCAATAGTAGTAGTAGTAGTAGTAGTAGTAGTAGTAGTAGTAGTAGCAGTAGCAGTAGCAGTAGCAGTAGCAGCAGCAGTACTAGTATCAGTACCAGTACCGGTACCAGTACCAGCGCCAGTGCCAGTACCATTACCAGTATCGGTACCAGTACCAGCACCAATAGCGGCAGTACGAGGAGCAGTAGTAGTAGTCGTCGTCGTAGTGGTAGCTGTAGCTGTAGGAAGTGAAGAAAACTAGCTAAACTACTGGTAGTAGTAGTACTGATAGCAGTACAGTAACAGCAGCACTAACCGTCGTAGGAATAGGGACACGACGAATAATACGACTCATGATACAAGTGGCAAGAGTACTAAAAGCCACTCCTCTGCTCCGGATAACAAGACAATTCGCACCGTTTTGGAATGTAGTGAGCAGGGGCAAATGTTGAAATGGGTTGCTTGTGCTTGCTGTTTTCGCTTAAGGGTTCCAATCCGCCTTCCCGCCTGCCTTCCTTCTCTGCCTGCCTTCCTTCCTCCCTTCCTTCCTGCCTTCTTTCCCTACTTCCTCTCTGGCCTATGAGGAAATGGCAAAGTTGAAAGAGAAATTTCAGTTTGAGGTGTTCAGAGCTCTATTGGACGTGTCCCCATCCCTCTTGCCGTAAAGGCTCGTCTTGCTCTTGGCCTTCATCTGGCTCTTCTCTTTTCTCTCCTGCCCGACTCTGTGGAACAGAGACGACGAGGTCCGAGGTCGGATCTGGGACTGAGCTCTATGCAGAACTACTCTGCCCCCCCGCGGACTTCCGCGCTTGCTATCAGGCTCAATTCCAAGAAACTTGTCCGCTTTCATCGGTGCCTTCTTCGCCTTCCCTTTCCTTGGAAATGCTGCCACCGCAGAAACGGGCACAAAAGTCATGCAGTGGACATTGTGATATGAGTTTGGTCCGGTTGTCTCTTCGCGTACGAGGAACTTTTCGGCTCTTCGCTTCTGCCCATCCGACTTTGGGCTGGACACCTCGCTTGCCGACTTCTCCTCGTTCGCGAAACTTCCAAGCATGGATGCCCCGTGAGGGATCGTGAAGTTGTGTGGAAGTCCTCGTCACTGTCGTCGCTTGCCCCTTGCTTCCGCTTTTTCTGCTTCTCTTTCCTTGGTGTCATACAGTCTGACCATGCTCTTTGAGGCCACGACTCCTGACCCTCATGCTAAGAGTCAAGGCAAACAACGTGGTGGCGAGCAGAACTAACCGTTGGCAGGAAGTGACCGCAAGAGTCTACTGCAGTCGGGATTCTTTACCTTTTTTTCGTGCTCTTGCTTCGTTTTGCCGTGGCTTTTAGAAGGCACCTCGCAATCCCATACCGGACATGTGCAAGATGCCGATGCCTCGCACTGATGCGTGCCGTGTATCCTGGCTGGAAAGCGTCATGTGCTGCTTCGTTTCTGCTCACTCGACTCGTGACGGTATGCAAAGCCACGTGTTCACATGTACTTTCGGCATGGATGCACCAAGAGCAGGGCACATGGAGTCGTGCTTGGGCGGAAAATGCGAAAGCCCTACACAGATGGCTCGAGTGAGTACCTTCGGCACGGATGAACCAAGAGTGCGGCATGCAAGTTGCGAAATCTCTACTCTGATGATTCATGGGTGACATGCTTCTTTTATGGCACCCGCTCTTGGAGTGCCAAAAGCAGCGATACAACTTGGTATGCGTGCTCACGCATGCGGAATGTGCATGTACAGCCTCGCTCTGCGATTTCACCGACTCGATTGCCTCACGACTCGGCCCGCCTGAAATTTGCTGGGAGGGGCGCTGATGCTGACCCGAGCGTCACATCACAAGATCCGCATGACGAGCTGTCTGGTTCCTTTCAGTAGTCAACAGTGACAGCTTCGGGCCTTCTCCTTCTCCTTCTCCTTCTTCTCCTTCTTCTCTTTCTTCTCTTTCTCCTTCTCCTTCTCTTTATCCTTCTCCTTCTCCTTCTTCTTGTCTTTTCTGTTATTTTTTGGCTTTTCTGGTTGTCCTTCTGCATTGGCTTTACCGTCTTCATCCTTGTCGCTATCGCTGTCCTTGCTTAGCTACAGCCCAAAACCCAATCAACGATGCCCAACGATTCAACGCACAGATGCCTCCTTGGCTTTCCTCTTGAGTTTCTTCTTTGCTGTTTCGCTGTCTTGCTCCTTGCTGTCGGACGAGGCCTGGACATGAGACAGGACCGGACATGTCTCAAGCACGCAGAATCGGCCTGGACCTGTTGTTTCTTGCCCTTCCTTCTCAATTCCTGCACGGCTGCCAGCCATGCTGCTCTGAATGAAGGAAAGGTCAAGGCCTTTTTCCTGGAGAACATTTATGTAGAGGCATGCCACCAGGCGGCGGTTGTTAATCGCTGTCTTGTTTGGGAAGTTGCCAGACTTGGACTTCTGAACACGGCATGCCATGCAAAAAGTCCTGAAAATCTTGGACGACATTCGTGAGGTTTACGTGTTTCGTTGCTTCTGCACAACACCGTGCAGGCAACCACGCACATCACCAAATGGTCGGGCGCAGACAAACACAAAAGCGCACAGCTTTGTCAACAATGTCAACTTGCGAGCAAGTATCATCAAAGCTGCAGCTGAGGGTGGTGATGCTAAACTCTTCGCGTTGCGATCACCATTCCAAGAAGAAGATGTCTTCGCAAACACGTACACGGCTCTCTATGCCAAGAGCTTTTCTCTTGATTGTCGTGATGCTTCTGGTATACCCTTTCGCGGAACATCTCCAGTCCTGTATGGAGCGGAATTATCACCCTTAGATGCATGAAACGCCGCGAAGCCATGCAAGACAGATGCCTACCTGTATATAGAAAGCAAATGTATAGATGGCACACACCACATACCTCAGGTACTAGTACCCCACTTTTGGTAGCATACAGGGAGACGGAGACACATTCTTGAACTGTGAAACAGTTTCTGACAAAGCCAAAAACGAGAATCCTTCCTGGAGCACTGCTCAAGGCTGAGATCTCACACTGTTGTGCTTCATATTATGGTCACCTCACGCCCCCGGCGCTCAAGAGCCCGCAGCACTGGAAGAGCCCCTCCTTGGCTCTTCGCTCCGCTCGCTCCTCCTCGACCTCAAAGGCAGAGGCCGTTTCAAAGAAGCTAAGAGAAGAGACGTCCGCTCTACCAAAGTCGGCGACCTTCTCGCGCGCCTTCAGCCGCGCTTTTGAAGCTGCTGCTTTCCTTGCATCCTGCATCATTTTACACAGAGAGCGTTTTGGAGCCTAACGACTTATCAGAACCTCCTCGCTCGAGTCGGATGTGGAATCCTCCTGCACAGCTTGTCGGTCGGGAATCAACCAAAGGCTTGCAAGCTTGGACCGGGACAGAAGAGTCGCTGTCGGAACTGCTGCTGTCCTTCGAGCGGTCAAACACTGCTTCATGCGACGCCAGGCAGGAATGGCATGAGTCCAAGCTGGCCCTCTTCATGAGCGGTGGCGGATAACCTTGCAAGAACAGACTCCCTCCTACAGTATCGAAGCCGACATTGGACAACTTGGGCAACCGTCTGTCAGCCATTGCCTCTGTAGAAGTGTTTACTCTGAGTGGCCGGGCCCCACCACGGGAAGTATCCGGAGTAGCCTCAGCTGAGCAGCACTTGCTGTGGAATGCAGTATGCTACCTTGCAGCCCCGCGGAATGATGCAGTTGCCTGACAGTTTCCCGAGAAGCACACCGGGGTAGCCAGGGTAGCCAGGGAAGCCTGGACCGGTCTTTTGCTGCAAGCAGCGCAATACTGCTGGGAGGAGTGGTAAGAGACACAAGGAACAAATCTTTGACGTAGGTCCCACGGAAAGTCAAGCTTGTCAACGCGAGCAGAGATGAAGGAACTATGTAGCTCGACTGATGTTGCAGTTGCCCAGCTCCTCGTTCGTGAAGTCAAACGCAACATATTTTCGCACAACAGGCAAAAAAGTCTGCTCAATCGGGACCACCTCGAGAGGAAAGGGCCACAGTGGAAGTGGTGGCAGGTCAATGCTATCACACAGCTGAAGGCTCAAATTTCACAAAACAAAATTCCTGTTGCCCCTTCAACTAGCTCGCCCATCAGCAAATCAATGCACTCAATCAATAGCCGAAGCAACCAACCGGTGCATCAAGCACCGACGCTTTGAAGAATCCACTTTTCAGCACGGACGCGCATGCAACACGATGCAACATCAATCATGTCCGTCTTGAGCAGCGTCCCCGCACCTGGTGGGACGAAAGGCCTGGGCAAAGCACAGGGCTAGAACAAAGTCGATCAGCACCAGATGCAGCCACACAGGTCAAGACGGGGCCCATGTGGTCCTATCTGCCCTTTCTCGCTCCCCTTTACACTCACATGTCGAGTTCCACCGCCCATTGCATACATGATGATGCAAAAGGGCTCTAGCTTGCAGTACAACGTCGAACATGCACACACTGCTCGCAGAACTTTCCTTCCTCATGAAACCGCAATCGCTCCTCGACTCTTCGTGTGTTGTCCAAGCGCCGCGAGATCGAGCGGGAGTCACCACGACACAAAGCAGAAACACGTCATCAAGTCCCGGATGCAGACTGGGCACCTATTGTAGGGATTGAGTACTCCAATCTTTGAGGGCCTGTAAGTGGGGATTTTGCATCCGTCTCGCCCAGCATGCGCACAGACGACACCTTTGTGTTGCCGTGCCGCGCAGTGGAGCACATTCAAATCGCTTTGCGACGAATCCGTCAGTGGCCTTAAAAGTCATCTTGATCTCTAGGCTTGAAGCCCTTGTTTGACTCTTTCTTCATCAAGAAATGGCAGTCCATGCAGTCCCGGTTTCGCGCATCCGATGTTGGGACTTCGAGCCATTTCGGGCCACGCGCACAAGCGGAGGGGTGTTGGCTGGAAGCAGGCTTGCAAAACCAAAAGCATCACGCATCGCCTTCTGCCCCCCAGCCCAAATTTCCGGGATCTCTTGGCTGCACAAGTCGGAAGCCTCCAAGCGCATGGCTGCTCCGGCCTGGGTGTACTGCATCGCCGACAGTGACTGTTCCTGAAAAGGGGAGAGCCAAACTTCACACACGCACCCTACACCGGGGCACTGAGAGTCGTGAGTCCGAAGCTACATTGTCCGGCCCTGCTCCCTACGTCTGTAGGCAATCGGACACAGAAGTGGGCTCTGAGCGGATGCCATGCTTAGCTGACACTGCATGTGGAGAGGGAGAGAGAGAGAAAGAGAGAGAGAGAGAGAGAGAGAGAGAGAGAGAGACCAATCCGCGAGCTGATCAAGAGTATCGCAACACTGGCACTAAGGTGGGGATGGTCCTTTCTGCACATCATTTTTCAGACCACATGTTGCACTGTCCAGCTCCTACCCCCATGTTCTACTCCAACGGAACGCAAAAGTCAAAAGCCCCACCGCGTCCTTGCAAAGACAAGGTCTTGGCAGTTGGGACAAACCCAGTCGCCAGACATCATTGCCTGCCCAGGCGCATCGTGAAACTGAAACCATGCGCTAGCCATGTGGTACAGAGCTGCGGAACCAAGGCCTAAAATCGAACATCTGCACTTTAACATGGAAAACATGTCGAGCGCAGACAACCATGGAGGCTCTGTAAGCACAACTCTTAGCTACGAATCGGCACCGCGGCTTTTTTGCATGCGTGCCGCAGAACTCAGTCGTCGAAGCCAAGAGCGCTCACAGATTTTTCAGTCCGAACCTGGATCATTTCACGAAATGCCACGACCGGCAAAACCTGGCGCCTCAGGGCACACCGGGCACCTGAAGAAGCTTCGGCGCCCTGAGCCTTCGTGGAGCCATGCGGAGCGTGCCCGATCCATGGCCTGTCGAGGGCGTTAAAGTTTCTCGTCTGCGGGCCATGCGGCTGCACGTGCAAAAGGGCCATCTCCTGCGCTGAGGACCTTGCGAAGTTCCATCGCCTCTCCCTGTACCACGCTGCCACCCGCGAAAAGGGTGCAGCGAATCGAAGAGAAATAACGGGCCTGCGCTGTGATCGACACTCTATAAAGCACAGGGTCGGTACAACGTGCTCTTGCCTGAGTGTTTGCACCTGCTGTGCTCCACGTCAGCTGCTTCTCCTCATCATTCCAAACCTTTGCATCAAAGCTTGCACAGCCACAATAGAAGCGTGACCTCAATCCCATTGAACTGCGTCGTAGCTGCCGCTGGAAACAGACGAGGTGACATAGCAATGGGGCAAACCATCGGGCATAATCACACATGGCATCCACTAGCCAACGCATGCTGTTGCAGCTTAGATGCAAAGGTAGTTTTGCGCAACGACCCTGTCTTGTAGGACGTTGTCTCTCCATCATCCTGCGGGGCAGGGTCACTTAACGAAGTTCTCTGTCCTTAGAGCCAATCCTGCTCTCGGAGCCTTCTGAATAATTCAAGATTTCAGCATCGAGCTGGCGCAACTCCACTTCATGCGTTGGAAATGTTGGTTCCATCGCTGACACTTGTCGTTTGAGGTAAGAGATTCCGCTGCGATATAGCGCCTTGCTACAGGGGAATGTTCACCGGACGGTGGGAAGACCAAGCAAGAGGATCGACGTCTTCATCGACGGCTTTACCCTGCATTCTCTTACTGTTCCATGTCCTGAGAACCCAAGCTTCAAAGGGCTTCCAACTGGCGCAACGACGTCTGAGTATCGAATGCTTGCCAAGGAGGCTGCTCCTCTACTAGAGTGAAGTTGCCATCTGCACCAGCATATACCTTCCACAACGCCACGGAAGCAGTGAAGTTTTTGAAGACACTGGAAAATCCCTTCTACATTTCCAGCACGTCGGCAGTCAACATCTGGCAGACAGTGCATAAATTGAATCAGTCTGCTCCACACAAGCACTTGCGAACCCGCCTGCACCTCAAGCGGACCCCCAGGGAGGTCGTCTGTGGACTGTACTTGTGGAGCCAAGGGAATTACCTAGTCGCACAGCGCGACTGTCCAGCACAGCTCACACGCGTAACCAAGGCGAGCGGCAGTTCCAAGTCTCACGTAAGCTGGAACGTTGTCGAGTGGCACCTGCAAGAAAGTCTCGTGCTACTACGAGGGTCCGCAAAGAAAATATGAAATGCTTGCCTCCTGGACAGCACTTCGTGGTCCCGTGATGACTTCGCCCGGTCGATTGAACGGGTGCCACTGACCCTTGGGAAGATAGACTTCAGATTTCGACGCCTCGTTCAAAATGGGCGACCTGAGCAACTCACAAAGCGGAGATGACAGCAGCATCGACAGCATCAGCATGCAGAAGCATGCAGCCGCACCCCTGCATCGCGAAGCAAGATTTCGTAATACTGTATTCCCTGACGCGAAGCCTCGCAACGCCAAAGAGCAACTTGTCGTTCTGAGCTGAGCACACTAATATTTCTCCGTCCATCCACTGAGATGTGAGGTTGGCAACCTGACACATTCGGCTGGCAAAGGTGACCCGAAGAACGAGAGGCCAACAGGAGCATAGCCTTGTTTGCATGGTTCAGATCTTACATCCTGCACACACTCTGATTGCTTCGCACCTTGGGATCCTCGGGGAAGACGGCAGCCAGTGGTCGAATCCACAGAATGCCAAGCGAGTGCAGACCTGCGGGAACAGCCCATTCGTCTGGGCTGCGCAGGGCTCCGCAGGCTCGCAGGCTGAGGCCGGCACGGTGCGCCAGGGAATAATGATACGGTATCAATCCTTGCATGCAGCAGTGCAGCTGCAGCTTACAAAGAGACCCCGCGAGACAAGGCTTCCTGGCATTACGTTGGCCACGGTTTTGGGGCAGAATCGCAATTCAATCGACGACGTCCTAGCAGCAAAACTTAACAACATTTAACAACACTTGCAAGTCTTCACAGAACAGGCTGCTCCATTTGGTCAAGTTGCGGTAGCGAAGATGGAGCGCCTCCCGCCTCAAGCGAAAAGCACTCGGAAGTCGCAGAGATCCTACCGAGTCTGGGGATGCCGCATCACCTCCGCGGCACGGTCTCCAAAGAGCCACGGCCAGTGTGGCTTGACCCAGATCGCGGAGTGCACTCGCATAATGGGCATAAAGACTCCCACCTGACACTGAGAACGTCAAAAGCCAAAAAACAACTGGCCGCGGCCTGGTACCATCTGACCAAGAGCTCTGGTGTCGGCTCTCCAGTGAAACCTGCTTGTGTCTAGCCCGCTAATGGACTGCGTACATGTCATGCTATCACAATGGCCGTACCTCCAATATCGCAGGCCACGTACCTCGATTGGAGTTCACGGACTCGCGGGCTAACCACAAACTGTGTTACATTCCTTCCAGGTTCAGCTTTGATGCGGTGCTCCGGCCAGGCCCCAGTTCCTGAGGATTTAAGAGTACTCCAAGCGACCCTGTGCTGGCGCGCTTCATCACCACTCTTCTCGGCAAGGCACAGAACCATGCCGGGGGTACGAGCAAGATCCTGCGAAGTGAACCAGACGACCAACAGCTCCAGAGCTAAGGTTGCACCAATGACATGTGTTTGAGGCGATCCTGCATTTCTGCTAAGTACTGTACTTACGTCACTTCCGTCCTCTCTACATACAAGAAGGTCTCTCTGACTCCCCCCACAGCTCCACACACTCTCCACACGATCGCCTGCCATGAAGAGTCGATGTCACCTGTCCACACGCCAGCTCCAAGCCGCGCGAGGCCTGGAGTGAAGGCACCTCCGGAATCTGCCGCGCTTTCTGACCCAAAATCTTGAACACCGAGGAGACCCCACTCCGAGGCCAGCGCGGTTCAAGGAGAAGAAGCGCTGCCCAGGCTGGGGTCGCGGCGTGATGGGAAAAACGAAGGTTACACTCTCGTCAAAGCTCACACCTTCGTCTCTTCCAGGATATCCTTCTCTGCAGCGTTCCATTCGTGGTACGTGTAATACGAATTCTCCCCTTCCTTGCTGACATCAAGCGATCAAACTTGCAACAGCCGGTCTGCCTGCGAAGCAAGGCACGTCATTCCACCAGTAGGCGATGCCGGCTTGCAAGTAATGCCTTGCTGACACATCGTCGCGAAACAAGAAACAACTGGGGAAACAGGTGCAACTGCCGCTTGAGGCCAGAAGCCGCAGCTGCGTTTTGTACCAGCTGCGCAGGTCGGGGTTCGAAAACAGTAGCCAACGTCCATGCGCGTAGGTCTCTGGACCACCTGATCACGACTCACAACCTGCAGACTTGCTGGTCTTGGCCCAAGAGCTGTGACAGAAGTTGACATATCCCAGGCTCGGATTCCCTGCTGCTTGTCTGGTGAAACGATGCCTCTGCCACTAACACTATTGCTACATAAAAAATTCTAGGACACCTGTAACTAGGAAACCCGAACAACACAAGGAGTTCCGACAACCACTAGGAAGATCCCAGGGAGTATCCATGACGGCTCGGACAGTCAGGCAGCTGTAGATATCTATTCCCATGACCGTGCAGCATAATCTAGGGCTGTTCGACGACTTACACGCAGCTCGTGCCTTCAGGCAAGATCCATTGATTCTCGCGCATCTTTTGCAACAGCTCCTGATTGATCTCCCTTTCAAAGCTTCCGACATGCAACAGCTTGACCGCACTCTCAGACCCCGAACTTTTGGATTCGATGACAGATCAGCAGAAACAAGGCTGCACCAAAAATACGAATACAACACTGAAGACGGTGTCAACATGTCTCGGTCGCTGGCTAGGCCCTTCTAGGCGAGGCTGGATAAGTGAGGTGTGCTCAGTCGCAAGTCTTGAGGTGAGATACCACTCTCGTTGGGGTGGGGGGGTGGGCGCTCGGGACGTGTGGGCTTCCGGAGATTTGCTTTGGTGGCCAGGCGTGCGAAGCAGACAGACCTGCCTGGGTTCTTCCTGCAAGGGCGCGCAGCGACGAATGCTATGTAAATGAGAGCGATTCTACGCGAGAACCGAGAACCCGCGGGTTACATTCAGGCTCTTCGGCTCGAGGCTCCTGATTGCCCAGGCGAGGCTTCCGAATGCCAGCCACACGCACATGGAAATCCTTCGCGCGAGGACTTCGACGAGATGGATCACTGGGTCCTACTGCTGCCGATCTGGAGTTTCTGAGATGCCGTCTGATCTGTACTTCTCGAGCTGACGAGCAGGAGATGGAAACAGCTCGGGATTCCATCCGAAGTCATCGTACCAGGGCTGGCCCTCTTGCGAAAAGTCGTAGTCGGAGGTGTTGGCAAACCACTCGAAATCGACGATGATAGAATCCTGAGTCCAGTGACAAAAGCATGGAGCCTCCGATGATCTCGGATCCCTTCTGTCAGGTGCCGAGCTGCAAGGGGAAAGCCGCCGGCACGAAACGACTTCAGGGTCTCCTCGACATAGGCCCCATCTTCCCAGCCCCATCGAGAAGCCAGGAAACCAAAGGCATGCCTATGCGAAGCACCAGAGCACGCCGGAAGAGTATGCCCGAATTTAACTGCAAACATCTGCGAGCATCTGCAAGCAAGAAGCATCGGCGGGACTGGTGGTCGACCTATCAAAGACAAGTAGTGCCGGCTTCCTCAGTCGGCAGCTTCGAATCCACACCTCACGAATCTCACAAATCAAACCTACGAGAACAGTTCCTGAACGGCGGTCCTTCGAGCAGCGAGGGAGCCGGCATAAGATATACTTGGAAGTCTGCAGAGAAAAGCCATGAAAGGTAGTCGCCAGTGACTTGGTACCTGCTAAAGCTGCTCTTAACAAGCAAGTTTGAAGCCCCAGGCAAACCCTGGCCTGACCAGCAAACGGTCGAAGCGGGTGGCCGCCGTGTGCCCTAGGGCTGCATAACCATCCGCTGTGTAGTAATACGGTACGAATGTCTCGCGATTTGCCTGTGGCAGCTCCGGCAGACACTGGACTGTCATCTTGTCTAAAAATCGAGCCCGCTAAGCGCATGCAGGATGCAACCTGACCAGTGGCACCGCTGTGCTGTAGTGAAGTGGCCACTTTTGGGCCAGCCCCGCCACCAAACACAGATGCCGAGCTGGAGTTGAATGCAAGGAGACCTGGACACCTCAAGTCAACTGCATGGAAGATGGTGAATTGACTGTCGATTCGTATGCCTCCCCCAGGTGGTACCAGAAGCAGCCTCCCAGCCTGGCAACGCTCTACAAAGTCGTCTGTCGCTTTCGGACGTCGGCTAGCGCATGCAGTGCAACAGAACGCGGGGGGACCTTGCTCACGCACGCGTTATCTTGACGTGTAGTCAACATAATTATGCATCTCAGCCTGCTGCAATAAAACAAAACACGCCATTCCAAGTTTCAGGTTTATACAACTTACATCCATGTACTATATGACATGGTTGCATGCCCTAGCAACATGCGCAACTGCTTCGTCGACAAGCGCAAGATGCCACATGCTGACATAGGCCCATGTCACAGGCCTGATGCATCCTTTACCAGAGTACCTCAGTGTCCACACGCGTGGGTGTGCTTTTGACTCGAACACAAGGCACTTGTATCCCAACCCGGTACAACTCGCAGCAAACATCCGAACCTTGTTTCGCACGGAGGGCAAGAGGGTTCGAAAGACAGGTCCAGCCGTCAAACATGTTGCTCAAGTTGAACATGGCTTTCCTACAAAACCTTGCAATCTCGAAAACGCTGTCTTGCCTATCTTCCAAGTGCCGAGGTAGGTCTGCAAACTTGTACGGGAGCGAAAAGCTTCGGAGGCTGCTAGAGACAGGGGCCAAAAGGCCAAGAGTAGGAGCTATCGTTTTGTCCGGGGACTTGGTTTTCACTGCACGGAAGGGCCAGCCGCCAGCCGTGCAACAGCGTCAACGCCGAGCCTTCAGGCTTGTGCGGATAACCGAGCAGGCTCCTGTAACTATACACAGGAGTCTGCCAAGGCTTCGAAACAGACGACAGCGCCTCGGATTCGTCTTTCTATTCGTTCAAAGACGCCAGCGCAGAGACAGCACCGGCTCTTGCCGATGTGTTTGAGCCTTATCCTCCATGACCGCGATCCCTCGCCTGTAGGAGCTGGACTTAGCTCGCCTTTGGGGCAGCTGGCCGACGTCGCCCTCGACGTCCAATTTCTTGGAGACCGCTCTGGCGACTGATGGGGGCTCCGGCGGTGGCACCATCTCCTGGCCATAGCCGCCCAGGCTCGCCCGGGTTGGGGCAGTCAACTAACCAATGGCCTGGGCGGCGGAACGAACTACAGACACCAGGTGCTCCTTTGGTTGTGGCAAGCCCTTGTCCACCGGGTCGGCTTTTCGAAGATGGTGCCGAAGAGCCCTTCCGCCTAAAGGAAAATGCCCTAGTGTTTCTCGAGTTTTCTGCACGGCGTCGCGAGCCTGTTTTTTGAAGTCTTTTGGCTTCTTCCACGAACACGAAGGCTTCGGCTTCTTCTTCTTCAAGAGGAGCTTTCTCATCCTCGTAAGTGGGAACTTCGGGAAGCTCTTCAGGAGCAGCAGTTGTCCTGGGCCCACTCGTTGTACCGAGCCCACTAATCACCAGAGTCATGGTACCAATCATGTAGATCCTCGTGCCAGTAGGCTCTGGACTTGTCATTGTCGTGCCCCCAGCTCCAACTATCATCGTTGTAGTAGGAGCCACCATGCCGTCGGCCGTGGTCGTCCTTGTTGGTCCCGCCAACCTTTGTCAAACATGGTCCTCAGAGCCTGCCTCACTGTCGCAAACTCAATTTCTGTTACGGTTCTGAGTTCTGCAGCTCGCTGGCTTTCAATAGCCCAGCTCGTCCTCGAAGTAGTCGATCATGGAAGGGCTTCTGGCCGCGGTCTTAGAGCGGGCAGAGGACATGGGAGACGATGGATCCCATTGGCTTCCTTTGGGACAAGCCTCCTTAGTCCTTCTTTTCTTCCCTCTTGTCGCCATCGCATGCCATCGCCATCCTCATCTTCTCGGCCGGCGTTTCAGGGCCAAACTCCGCGGGGGAAACTCCGTGTCCAGCTCTTCCTCGCGCACCCTCAATTTTTGAACGGACTCACCCGTCGACGATGTAGGTTCGACCATGGCGCAAGATATCGCTGCAACGGAGACCCGAAGAACAACCAGGAGCTTGTCGAGTCCATTTGTGGCGGCATAAACATCGGAACTAGACTTTCTCACCACGGATTTTTGCAATGCCAAGCGCTCGAACGTGTTCCCAGCTCAGTATCTCGCCTTCTCAGGTGTTCTGCGCCATTCCTTGCCAAGCACTTGTGCTCCAGATCCACAGCTCCATGGAGCCCGCAGACGGCCCCTGGCACTTCTAAGGCAACAACACCCTCGATGCAGAGACAAGGTTAAAAGGGCAACTTCTGAATCGGCGCTGCCACAAAGGAGGAAAACGCGCCGCGGCCCCGACCCTCGTCAGGTGCTCACGCGACCATGAAAGTGGCACACACACACACACACACACACAAGGAGAAAGGGCTCGTACTGCCCTGTTTTCACCGCAACACTCCGTCTCAGATCTTATATGGCCCTCCCCCTCGACATGCACAGCTATGAAAGCTCACCAGCACTCATGACATGAACCATGAGACATGCGAATGAGAACTTGTACTAACCTTTTCGGCTATCATCTGCTTCAATTTTGCGAGATATGTGGGCATGACTCTGAACACTGCTGGAGCTGCCCAGCTGAGGCATTCGCTAGTTGCTGCTTGTTCCGGATTGTTTCGTCTGAGCCGGCGGCCAACTAATGTTCCTGACTCCTGAGCCGGGTGGCATTTCGTGCCGTCAAAAGCCCAGTCGGTGCAGTTGGATCGAGCATGGCAGACATGGCAGCAGGCTCCTGACAGTGTCCATCGCGCAGCTCTGACAACATACCACAACAAACCTCTCCTGCGTTTGCCGCAGGCAGCTCTGCAATCTGCTGGCCACCCTGACTCATGACCCCCGCAGTGATCTAAGAGCCAACAGTGTGGATGGATCAGCAAAGCCCTATGACGCAGAGTATCGCTCCCCACTCCCAACATCAATCAGAGGAAGAGGCACCCACTTCGAGCTTCGTGCTGGTGCCCTACCCGCCTGTGGACGGCCGTCAACTGCTGCGCAGCTGAGCTGGCCCAGTGGCAGCGACTCAGTAATCATGACACCACTGGGGCTGCGGAGGCGAAGCTTTCCTGGTCGACGTGAGGAAGACCGCCGAAAGACTTCAGAAAGGCTCTCAAGTGGACCTGAAAGAAAGCACCAGCTTTCATCGAAGAAGCGCGCCTTCGCTACTCACAGTGATCGAACCCAGGCCAGGAGCATCAATGCCCTCAGCGACACTTCTCACACCATGCTTGTGACAGGCATGCTTTGCACTTTCGCTTCCAAAAACATCGATCTCCCTTTGCTGATACCGATCACATCATCTTGCACAGAGCAAGTGGATGTGCCATGCACCATCGCAGAGGCGGGCAAGAGAACTGGCATAAGTGGCGCCAGTGCAGCCGAGGAAACCGTCTCCTCCGAGAGGATTCGCAGAGAAAAGGGAGCATCAGCTTCTTCTGGCTGTACCTACAAATCGCTGCAAGGCTCACAACTCGCAGCCGCTTCGGAGCTCGCTTCCCTGCCTCCCATGTCTCTTGCGGATCAGCACCATCATAAAGAAAACGAACTCGAAACGAAGACGTTCCTCTCGTGGAAAGGCCAAGCCGTCCACCTGAGAGCCAAAACGCTCGTTGTAGGTCATGTAGGTGAAGATCGAACTTGACAGCTGCTGTCTTCGAACGTGAGCATCAAAAATTTGTCCCGCTTACTAGGCCTCCGGCCAAGCGGAAGCTGCACGATATGCTCGTCGCAAACACTCTCGTGTAGAAGACTTAGTACCTCAGTGGAACTTCAAAAGCAATATGCCACCGGCCACCAAGAGAACGGTTTCTCTTGCCCATCCACTGCTGCCATGCGTCGATGGCAATGACAGCAAATCGAATTACCATTTCTGCGGCTTGCACGATGCCCCGGGTGCATAAGATGTTTATGAGATGCTGATGCTGCACAACTGCTAGCCTCGCTTTCCAAAACTAGGTTGTCATAGATGCGTTCTGGAATGGCATCCAAATGAGCGGATAATATCTTCAAAGCATGGAATGCAGGACAGCGATGGGTGTTCGCTTCGCGGATCCTTGAACAGATGGCAGGAAGCAAGGCAGAGGAAAAGCGATGCAAGAAGCACTCGTCAAGAACTCCCCAGCTCCAGCTGCAGGGCCTGACCATTTGGAGAGGTGCCAGAACCCACACCTCACAGGGAGGGCCGGTCTCCGCGGAAGCGCTCTCAAACATACGCCGCCACACCCACTATTCTTGCCGACACCATCTGCCCATACGCTGCTTCTCCGACTTCTCCGTCGGGATTCTCTACATGTACTTGAAGTGAAACGCTGCGAATTTGCAGCAGAGATCCAGCAACTGCCAGCACTGCGCGCAACTCAGATCCGCCGGGTCGACGATTGCAGCCACGAAGTCCAAGCACGGTACCATGTCACTTCACTCCACCAAGGCTTGTCGAGGTAACTAAGGCAAAGGCACGCCCGCCTTTTTCAAGTCCTGCAACACATGCGTACAACTTCGATTGCAGCAAGGACGAGCCCTCACTCAGGTTACTCAGTCATTCTGCTACCTCTGATAACTTGTCAACACGCGACGATCAAGGAACACGACGCAGCGACATGGTAAGAGCAGTCTTGGTCAATGTCACGGTCCAAGCAGAACCAGAGAGAGCACAAGAAAGAGGAAGCTGTTTCGTACAGCAAGGTTTCAATTCACGCAAAGCTGCAAAACTAAAGATCTTGAACGAGCTGTTCATTCTACCATTTCATCGGACATCTTGTTCCAAGCCTGCAGGAATGATTGGTTGATGCGTCATATCAGAGTTGATCCGGGTGGCCTGCTGTTTTATCGTGTCGGAGATATTGGAAACGGAGCTGCCGCTGAAGCTTCGCAGCGGGAATGCTACATTCTACACACTACTCTCACCGCTCTAGCTGTCGGACTTAGCCGCAATGCCTCTGAATTCTGACAGCTCTGAGTGCTCCTCTGCCAAGGCTCCAGGCGCAGCGGTTTTGGCATTGAAGCAAAGGCCCTGAAACCCCAGGGCCTGTGCGGCCGTCACGTTGTCCACCTCGGAGCACACACCACGGCGCTGTCGACGACTCTAACAAGCACGACAGCGGTGCCCAAGTGGTCCTTGTCGTCCACAAAGATACAATCAGCCGCCGTCAACCCTGCACCGATCATACTGAAACCCTCGGTTTCAGCTCAATCGCACAACTAGATAACAGCCTGGATGCTGTGCGTGCAAACGCTCCAGGAAAAGCTCGAAGATCCGATTGCCAGGCTTGGAACAGCCCACCTGCTTAGCTGCTAAGTTCAGAATGTGGAGGCGGTACCTCACGCATCTCAGCCTCGGAACTCACCAGGACGAGCTCTGGAGAGACTAGGTCTCGAAGCCCACAAGGAGTCGCGCACTCCTCAAAAGGCTAGCACGCAGCAAACAACAAAACACAGCCCAACGAAGCCTTTTGGCCAAACTCCGTCCTCATGAAACCAGAAGCCCAAGTGGTTCGAAATGACGCCGAGCACGATGCCCTGATCGCGGGCATTTTTCAACACCTCCAACGTCTCGGAATAGTGACCTAGCGAAACAATCGAGGTTCTGAGAGGGTTCTGATCGCTGGTGCACTATGAAGCATGCTGTTGCCAATCAATAACTTAAACTGCGCGAAGACAAGCGGCAACACAAACACACAGGCGTATTTGCTGCAGCCGTGGATCTTCGCAGGGTGCCACATATGTCAGCATCAGCTTCCTTTGTATTTAACTCTCATCACTTGAGCTTGAGCGATGAATCTAACCGATGCACAACAGCCGCACATTGCTTGACCTTGGATAGCGTCTACTTCCTCAGAAAGTGTGCCGGATTGTTTGCACTCAGGCGACCTGGGACTGTTTCTTCCCCCCAGAGACTCGCAAGACCTTTCATGCCCCAGCTTCTTTTGCGGAAGACGGGTCCAGACCGCTTGATTCACAAACCATCTGCCAGAAGGTGTCCTTCCATCGGTTCGATCTTTTCCATGTACACTGCACACAAAGAATGCAGCTGTCAACTCGACAACCCAGGTTGAGGAATAACTCTTGGCACTAGTGCAAGCCCTCGCTTCCAGCATTGATTAGACCTTGTCCTTCGTGACTGCTGGGTTCTCCTTGACAGCATTCCAAGCTGCTTTGGCAGCCTGCAGACCCAGTGACATTGGTTCCCTGCTTGGTATCGGCAGGGATTAGGATTTCGGGATCTCTGCGCTTCCTAGGATTCACAACGGTGCCACTTTAAACCGGTAGCAGCCTGATTCTTGTGTGCCTCTCATAAACTTTATGTCCGGGAATGTATTCAAGACCCACGGCAGTCTGGGATAGCCGTTGCATTAAAACAAAGAGAAACCTAGAAGCCCTACACCCCAACCAAATTCCCTATCTCGATGGCCTTACCGCCCACACTTTATACTTAAGGCCACCGAAATTCCCAAGCCGTCTGCGATCCAGGCTCTCAGCACTGCCTCGCCTAACACTTTGGATGGACGTGAAATTTTGCAGCTAAACAGCACAAGCAACCCTGCATGCAGGGATCTCTTGTTGATTAATTAGAAGCAGAAGGTGTCCAGCCCTCGTCGGTGGCCAGGCTCTCTTAACATAGTGTTACGTGAGGACTGGACTTGCCAGGCTCGAATCAACCCTTGGACAATCAATGGCTGCAAGAGCTGCAGATCGACATGCCAGTGGCCCACTCCATGCAAGTTTTACACTGCCGACCTTTGCAGCATCGTCTGAGATTTCCGAAGGCACTCGACGACGAACTGCCTGAGGCAGTAACAGCCAGTCAAAGGGTGCCGTCGGACAGCAAGAGACGTCACAGTTGCTGGAGGGTTCTTTCATTCTCCTTTCCGCCTTTTTGAGTCGCCTGTGTCATCTGGGTTGTTGCAGTTGTCAAGGAACCGCGCATTCTTAACTTCACTCATCTCAATTTTCGGTAGACTGATGCTTACATCTAGGGTGAAAACTCGGCATGGAACATCAATCAGGTACAAAGAAAGCATTTAGACCCTCTAGGTGAGCTTTAACTATTGTATAACCAGTAATATGGAGAATCACAGCCTTAAAACTGTATACGGCCAATATCACCTGCTAAACAACAATCGTGTTGGATTTTCAATGTGCGACATACCCAAACTGCCTATTGACTTAATGGGCATCACAGACAGGGTATTTCAGCATTGACGCGTGCTCGAATACAATTGAACATTGACAAGATTTTGGTACCAGGAAAAATTCAGCCATGTCTATGTGAACATAAAACGTTGCTTCATGCGAACATCGAATGTTGAATGAACACCAATCAATCAACAGCTTTGCCTGTGTGTCAAAGCAGCAACTAATTCGTCATAGTCACAGAATGCCGTACTGAACATCAACTAGGTATTAAGCGAATTTTTGCACATGCATGAGCTGTTATATCGGAGAGAACAAGTGCAAGGTGAGGTCCCGACGTTTTGCCCTCATAGGGGCATGCGAAAGTGCTGAGAGGTCCCGATGTTCTGCGGATGTGGGGGGCCCAAAACATTGGGACCTCTCATAGTTCCGTGGCCCTGGGAGTGCGAAAGTGCTGAAAAGTCTCAATGTTTGAGGGGTCTAGGAGCCCCAGGCACCACAGACACATAGCCTTCAGCCTTACATCCTCAACCAAGCTCAAAACAAAATCCTGAACCATCCGTTGCCAAACAAAGTTGAAAGGCCCCAACACTCCCCGAGTAGTGATCACTCAGCTTCGGCTGGAACGATTTGAACCGGTTCCTGAATAAGTGAGGCTTTGGTGACTAACCGAAACCGCTTCTGAAGATCGTCATACTGTACCGAACACCGATCTCTTTGCGGATCTCCTGCTGACCCACCGCATGTGGTAGGTCGACGCTCCAGCTGAAGCTAGAGTTAATGGCTACACACCCCAGTCATGTTCATATGCGAAGATGTGTGCTATTCCGCTACTGAGATTACCAAAGGACAGCAGCGCATGCACATCCCAGCCAAGCACCTCCTTCAGACCCGAGTCGGGATGGGTGACTCCACCGCAGTCAACCACCACACAGCGCAACACCATGGCAAGTGCTCCAGAGATTCCGCGAAATGTGCTCTTGCATGGCACTATTCTGGTAAGTTGAATGAAACCACCGTAAGAACTGGAGCTGTGAGCAAGGTGGCTAGCAAACATGCACAACCTTTGCGACCACTGCCGAATCTATCCCATCGTACCATCGTTCGACAGCACCCCCCCGGCCTCCGCATGGATAAAAGGCAAGAGCTGCCGGCCTGTCCACACGAAGCGCTTTTCCTACGGCCGACGGGTCAGCCGGTCCACTAGCAAAAGCTCGGTCAGCCCGGCCCCATATTCTGCAGCGTTGGCTTCGGACCTCCACACCTCAGCAACATGCCACACACATAAGCTGCAAGTTCTGACACATGAGATATTCAGATACAATGGATCCGGTTTACGGCCCGGCTGATCCAGGTGGTGGTGCACATAATGCGAGCCCACTGATTGAGTCTGCGCATTCGCGTCCGAGCAATGCGCCGGCGGCAGCTGCTGTTGCGTGCAAACTGCAAGTCATTGCAGGTTGGGCAATTCCAGTCGCCTCACGTGCATGCCATGCACGCAAGCAATCGATACAGACCAACCACCAAAGTAAAAGCACGGCTGCCTGCCTGGACGGGCCTTTTCCTTGTTGCTGGCCATTGTGCCCCTGTCACGCCGATGCAACGACGGTCTTACATGCTCATAAGCGGTCTCCACAGCAGCCTACTGCCAAGATCTTCATTGCGACTTCTGTCAGGAAGCGGTCTACTAGCAGAACGCATGCACAGCGCCTCTCATGCCTGCCAGCACCCCCCCTGGATCCCTCCCACCCTCCCCACCCCAGATCTCGGCAAGAAAAGTCTACAAAGCAGTCTGCTGGGCGAAGCTGCTTGCAAACTTGGAGACATGTAGTCATGCACATGCAGCTGGAAGGTCCTAGAAGCCACAGCCTGGATCCCTGTCATCACATGACCCATTTTGCCCGTGCAGTCTCAAAGCGGATCGTCAGATAAAGTTGCTGTCGCCAAAAGTTCACCCTTCGGACCATGAGTTGTCTTGCGTGTAGCATGGCTCGGAAAGCTACCATACTGAGACCAGGGAGCATGCAAAGCTACTGGACAAGGAATCGCCTGGCCCGAAGCCAGGCGGAAATGCTGCAGCACCCATAGAGGAATCCCCTTCCACACCGCCCATAGCTTAAATCACAAAATCTCCGACATCCCGGCCTCATCCCATTCCCTTGCTCGATGCTTATTTTGTTCGGGCGTTTGGGCTGAACAACGCCGAGCAGAGGCTGACCATATGCCGTCTGTCAGCTCAGCGCATGGCTGTCAACCCATGACATCGGCAGCAAAAGCTGTAGGCTAGGCACTTCAACAGGCTTTGTGCAGTCGTTGCTTGGTACAGATGTCGCAAGGACAATCCACTAACGCACTGAAGACTCAACGGGCATCGTGCAACTGCAAGACCGTGCTTCGAGCCAGTGATCTTCCACCACGAACTTGCAAGAGCAGATGCAAAGACGGCATCTGCTTGTGGACTGCCCAGCATCGTACGACTTTTGTCCACAGAGCTGGGGTCGTACGGCATCCAGGAAGCCCCCGATTTGTGAAATGGTGAGATACGTCCCCTGAGTCAAAGCTCGCCCACCACAGGAACAGGACGTGGAGCGTAAGGATGCCCCTTGGATGACGGGAGAGGAAAAAGCACGATAAACAAGCAGTGAACGAACAGGTGGAGCATTGATCCGGAGGATTGGGGCTGTCAGGAAATAGGCCAAATAGGCGGGATATGATTCACAATTCTGCAGGACTGACATGATGTCGCACCTGTCCGGAGATGGGGTCAAGATTAGGACAAGGCACGAAGCCATCACCTGGAGGAACGGGATCTGCCAAGGTGACCAACCTAAGTCAACGATACTGTTCAATGAAGCAGTCCACCGAGAGCTTGGTTAGCGAACTTTTTCTCTGCACTGCCACGGATAACTGCAAACCTCCGCTTCAGACTCAAACTCGCGAAAACAGCGAAAGGCCGCTCAGCTTGCGACCCGCTGATCAGCTGCATCTCCCTCGGAGGCAATTCGAAGCCCAATGCTCCCAGATTCTCGCGGACATGCTGGACCCTGACGGAACAGAAACACACGAGAGACATCTCCTGGCCCTGCCCGGCACGCCCCCGCCTGTCAGCATGAAACACCACAGCCAGCCCGAGCTGAAGAGCCCAGCGTATCAGAACCTCGCAGCGGACAGAAAAATGCAATCCAGCCCACTGCTACGCGACTGCCTGCGCGCTGCTTCGGCCGGTCCGCTGCGCGATCGCAAGTACCTCAACCACAAACGGTTGGGGAACTCCGGCCTGCAACGCTGCCGTTGCAATACGGATTTCCGGGCCTTACGATCCAAGGACATGCGGGCACGTGAGGATCATCAGTCGGACGGAGTGGCCGTGGCCAGTCTGACAAAAGCCTGGAGAGCAGACCTAAACCAGAGAAGTTGAGAAAAACCACCCCGTTTTGCGGCCGTCCATGCAGAGCCTCTGGCCCAGTTGCAGCCAGTGCGACAGAGCGTTGGCCGAAGTCCCTGTGCTGTGGCGCTCCACCACACATCAGACAAGTTCGCTTCAAATTTCGACTCTGCTCCCTACTGCGAGCTGCATATGCAACGTTGGCTCTTTGATCTAGGTCTTAAGTGGCATCTATGTCGCGTGGCTCGTTTCGGCTGCTTTCTTGAGTTTCATGCTCGGTTCCCATGCACATCGAAGAACTCGCTTACCCAGGAACTCGGAATTTCCTCAGAAGCTGCACGGGCCGCTGCCGGTGGAGAAATGGCGTGTGGTAATGGCACCTCCACGTGTTGCGCGACGGCCCGGGACCTGGGTCGAAAGAGTCACGTGTGACGGAGGACAACCCCGCATGAGTTCCCCAATGCATAGCTGTCTTCGTGATTTCGTGTTCAAGACCGAGCAATATCGAGCATGTTGCACAAGCCGCAGCAACACAAGCCTCACTAAGACTAAATAAACTCGGGCTACGACGATACGGAGTAAAGACCTGAGCCAACAAAGCGTGGCTTGCTGCCTCGCCGCTAATGCTTTGAGAATTCTTGTGCAGCCATACCGTGGCCGTGCTTCAGACTGCACAGAGTGCTGCACACGCAGGGTATCCTGGCTTTCGGATGTTTACGAAGATCGGCAGAGAAGATTCAGCCAAGCAGTAATTGTGACACGCCAGGCTGAGATTTAAGACGCAAATCGCGTCACATCTTGCAGCAACCTTACCTACTTGGTCGGCCGCGAGCTTCAGGGTATAACCGGATGCATGTTGCATGATTCACGCCCTGCGACGTTAGATCCCGATGAGCAAAAGACAGTGGTGGCTGTTCCGTTTCACCAAGTCCGCTGCCATGGGCCGACTTCCCAGCTACTACATTTCGAAATCCTCGCCGAGCGAGCCATCCGATACTTCTGTGGTCATGTGATGCGCATGCATTGCTGGTGGATCTCTGCTCTGGCGGACTCTGGCAGATGCTACATACACTGAGGACATGAATGCACCTGGCTTGTGCGTGTCTAAACCAATGAATATGACACCGGTATGTCTTTGTAGCAATCTGTGAAGCGAATCCATGAAGATCAACATCTTGCATCTCTCTATCCTGCTACCGCTACGTTTTGCCAGTGCCTCTTTGTCGCCTGAGCAGTTGTAACGTGGATCGCGAGAGAACGGATGTTGGTGTGAGTAAAAGCTTCGATGCAGTCGAGGCGATAACGATGCAGCGGGAGAAGTCGCGGCTGGATAAAACGTCATCATCTCAGTCTGGTTGTGTCCAAGGGCCCCCTCCGGTCTTGGTTCGAGCAAAGACAAGTTATTACACTCACTCTTGGCGCCTATGTCACAGCAATAGAAAGTTGACAGTTTTTGCCACTGCATTCGGCAACACAAACTGGCATGCAAGCTGAAGGTCCCAAGCCACGCACACACTGAGCAAACTCGACACCCTCCCCACGGTTTGGCAAGGCATCCACCTGCTGCCGCACCACTTGTACAGAACCACTGACTTGTGCCTGTGGCGTGCCTCCTGCGGACTGAAGTCCTTCACGCCGAGCATGCCGACTCTATGTTTGCTCTTCAACCTGCATGCAGCCAGTTCTGTGGAAAACCGGACCGTGTACGGCTGCGTAGGGAAAGTCATGAGGCCAGATTGTGGAAAACAAACGGAAACTTCAATGTGGATCCACTGAGAATCCAATACAGCATGTAAATCATTGCGTAGTTCGCTCGAACTTCGTCCCCCTTTCAGATCCGAACCGTCTTTATCTCCGCAGAAAATTGCGACCAGGCACGGAGGAACCAAACCAAAAGGATTCTTGAAGTTTCTTTACCAATTTGAAAACAGAGCGTGCAAAACATGTAAAGCACCGGCCTTTCCAGGTGCCGCCACCTTAGTTTTTTGCCGCAATCCTCGCAGCAAAAGTCGCTCACCACACATTCTTGGCTCCAAGCTTTTGAGACTCTGCTCCCTGGAAACAGACGCAAGTCGACTTTGAGCCATGAAGCAATGTCAAAAAGCTCTACCATGCATGCGCACATGAATTACATGCTTTTACGGCCCCAATGGTGACCCTAACATTAGCCCTGAGAATGGCTTGCGGATACAATCTAAGACTCAACCCCAAGACTAGCAATAATGCTGTTCCAAACTTCGTTTCCAAGAGTCTGATGCTAGTTAACTTGGAGTGCACGCGCTATGTTCATCTGATTAGCAAGCCTAACCCTAGCCTAGTCTAAGCCTTGCATTAGCAGTAGTATTCTGTTTCATGTTCACCCAAGAAAGACGCCATATAGCTCAATGCCAAAGTTCGTATGATGAAAATGCGCCGACTGGAAACCCCTCTCTACATGCCATTTTTACTCCCATATCGACCTGAAAGTCAAAATACTAACTTACATTAATTTGATTGGCAATCTGATAGTAAAGGTACTGCGGTCCCCCTGGCAACCCTAGTCTTGGATCTGACTCCTAGAT